TACGTAATTGAAAAAGTCAATCAATCCGTTATATCAAGAAATGTAAATTGAATTTTAATAAATATATATTTTTTAAAGTCACACTCACACAATTAATCAAAACAAAAAAAGAAAGCATTGTTTCATATTTATAATAATGGTTGAGTCAAGTGTTACCTATGAACCGATCCAACGGAACCCACAAAATTTGAGTTATTAATTACGTTTGGATCATTTTGGGCTGAGTTAAAAATACAATACTCATAACCTTATTTTTATTGACAAGTTTTGATCGGATCCGGCCCAATGTATTCCAAATTAAATGATCATTGGTTATAAGCGCTAAGGTGATAACAAGACATTTTTAATGTTTATTGGTAGACCCGCTTGACTTAAGAAAAAAGAAAACAATATGTACTTTAAAAAAATTAAATCTTTTATAAGCGTTTTAATTGTAAACGTTACGTCTCCCTCTAAAACAAAAGCAACAGCAACACACACTTGCTCACCACTCTTTAATGCCGTCGTCTCCACCCTCGATGAAGCTTGCTTCCTATTGAGACCAACACGATAAACTCGCCTTCTTCATAATAGCCTTCCCCTATGCAGCCGCCGTTGTTGTCCCCTTCACGGTAGGAGCATGAGTTGATGTAGACTTACCTCTACGGAAGATAAGAAGGAGGAATTGATTCGACGGCTTGAATTATGGCTTATTACGGCGATGCGGCAAGTTGCACATCTTCGAGATGTAATTCTTTAAAATTACACTCACTTTTAATTTTTTTGCATTTTATTATTATTGTATAACTCGTTTTTTCACTCTTCGTTTTTTTATGAAAATTTTAGGAACTTCTTCACCTCTCTTCGCATATATATATGAATTCCCAACGACTTAAAGAGTGAAAGTCAATGCTTGTCATTATAGATTGATCTTCAAATTAAACAAAAATGTTAACTAGTACTTGTGTCACCACCTTCATTATTTTACTTTTCATAGCCGCGGTTACCACCTCTTCCTTTTCCCACCAAGAATTGGAGACATTAGAAAACATCCAAACCAAATTGATCAAGTTGGTGAAGCCTCCACTTTGACTAAGAAGGGTGGTAGTGGCACCAAAAGAAGTAATTATATGTTGGTATGGCTATTCACCTATAGTCTCATTTAGTGTTTTTTTCTTGAAAGATAATTGAAGTTTTCAATTAATAAGTCCTAAGAGATTACTTTATCTTCGATTTTGCATTTCAGGAAAACCAAACGAAGGACTTTTGACATCATGGAATCCAACAACTTGAAAGGCCAACTTCATAGTAGCAAAGGATATATGGCTCGTGATACACACAAAACGATCAATGACGCTCCGGCTACGCTTGTCAAAATTGGAACCGGACAAACCAAATAGTAATAATCTATGTCAAAGCGAGGGTGTATAATGAAATGGTGGAAATTAAAGAGCAAATGAAAAAAATTGATGTTTGTGGGTGATGGCATGGATATAACCATTGTCACCAACGAAGAAGTTTCACATACGATGGTCTTGGTATGAACAAGACCGCTATATTTGGTAAGATCATTGAAATGGGAACATATTTAACTCGGTATGCATAACTTATTAGGATGGAGTGTTTTACTTATTTAAAGTGCCAAAGGCGAGTGACTCAATCTTGCTACAACATTGCCTCATCAATATGTATTTCAAATGATTTTGATTTTCTCTTCTTTTTCACGCAAGAATGTTTGGAGATGGATTTTGGCTAGAGAAATGACATTTGAAAACACGAGCATGGACAACTAGCGAGTGGCATTGAAAGTTAACTCGGACGGGTCGGTGTTTTATCTTTGCAGCTTCGAAGGCTACCAAAATACGCTCCTTTCCTTTCTCGATCAATAGGCAATTTTTTTTGTGATTGTCATGTATATGGCAGATATCAATTTCATATCCGGTAATGCTATGGTGGTGGTCTAAAGCTGCGACATCTTTGTAAGAAGACCAAATGACAACAAAAGAACTCGGTAATTCGCACAAGCAAGATGTTATCCAAATGAAAATACAGGAGTTTCTATCGAAGGTTCGCGCATTAGGCTAGCGACGGATTTTATTGGCATAAAAAGTCCTTCTTAGGCGAGTCCAAGCCAAGTGGATTACGGAAGACAATTCTATCGTGATTGTCATATCTACGACATCGTCGATATCATATGTGCTAATGTTGCGATAGGGTTCCAAAATTGCGACATCTTTGTAAGATAATCAATGAAGAACCAACGGAACACGATAATCGCACAAGGAAGACATAATCCTAGTGAAAATACAAGAATTCCTATACAAGGATCATGTGTTAGGCCAACACCGGATTTTATTCGTTGTTGAAATTCATTTAAAACTTCGTTGGGCACGCCATGGCAAACGTATTTAAGGATGGTATATTTTGAGACGGACCTTGATGGTTTAATTTATCCAAAAAGGTGGAAAGAATATAAAAGGCCGGGAGAAATACCGAATGCTAAGATTAGTGTGTTTTATGAAGAGTATAATAACACAAGTATTGGTGCATCTATTGAAAAACGGGTGAAATGGCTCGGTGTTCATGTGCTTGTTAAGAGTCCTAAGGAGGCTACTTACGATGAGTACGAGGATACAATGGCGAGTCATGGATTCCGATGGTCGGTGTACCTCGTCGGTTTGGAGTTTAATTGAAGGTTTAAAGGCTTTGTTTTTGTCCAAGCTAAATGATTTTTACCGTAATAATGAGCTTTCACTTGTCTACCTACTAAACCCAGAAAATATAGGTTATTATGTTCTCTTGGCCTCTCTAAAGCCTCGTTGCTAACCAATTATCACTTTAATATTTTTTTTGTTCTTTGGTTACAAAAATAGATGTATAAAAAGTTTGATTGTACACCTATTATGAAATATCAATTGAGCCTTTTAATTTATATTTAAAAGATTCCTCTATATTTATATCGCCACTCGAAATTAAATTTATAACATCTTTGTATATAAAGTTAATAAGATATAAATATGTCACCTTTATAAAAAGTTAGAAATAAAATTTGAACTTGAGGTATTGAATAGAATTAATTTGCTTATTAACAAAACAACTAAAACAAGTGGGGAAAATGAAAAGTGATGTTTTATTGTTTACTTCCTTGTAAATCACTATTGACATACTATAGTTATGGGTGGTATTTTTATGATTTATAAATTATTTTTAGGTATTTATATTTAAATTTTATATCATGTTTCATTTTAGATTCTAAAGGCTTAAAATGAAATTTTTGATTTCGTAATTTGTTGCACACTTAAGAGCACAACTTGTATTGGTCTTGTTTTTGCAAGCCCAAGTGAACCTCGAACCTACGTAAGCTAGACGTGTTGGCATGCCTTTTTTTCCTTTAATCGTTTCTTTTATTTTTTTCACCAACTTATGTTTATTATTATTGTTATTGAATTTGGTGTCAAAAATATAAAAAATCAATTGTTTTTTTTTTTTCACATAATCTAGTGATTATGAAATACATACATACATAGATATATATATAGGAAATTGATCTTTTAAATTTGTCATTTTTTATCAAAATTGTCATCAAATTTTTTAAATCTAGTTTTATTTGTTAATAGCTATGGTTTTTTTTTTTTTTTATGCATGGATTTTTGAATAATTTTTTTTTGTACTTGTTTTTATTTGCTTATTTTTTTATATAATCAAATTTTATTGAAATCAATTTTATAGCTTTTTTTATTGAACTCTATTAACTTAAATATATTTTTTACAACTTAATTTTTTTAAAAATATTTTTTGGTTTATACTACACATTATGATCTAGTGAGTATTGTCATAATGTATAAAAATATATATTAAATCATTAGTTTTATTATAAATTAATTATGCATCTACATACATAACATCAACCATTTGTTATTTTTTTAATAATTTAAAATTAATTTCTTTCAAATAAAATAATTGAAATAATGTCTCTTAAAAAACCACCTAATAATTCAAATATAATTTTTATACTAATATTATTCACTTTTTGTAAATAAATATATATAAATTAAATACTTATTTTTTAAATTTGATACAAATTTTGATTAAAAGTTATAAAATTAGATAAAATTTTATTTTTTATTTTTAATTTAATATATTTTAGTTGATCGATAATATAATATACGTTCTCAAATTAAAATAAATATATTTAATTTGATCTGTCGAGTATGGCGTGTAAAGCATGATAGTTATCATCTAAAACAACTTTTTGAAGGCAATTATCACCTTACTTACTTTTCTATGGTTATTGTCCTATTCATGTTTACTTTTCAATTAATTCTTTTGATAAAAAAATTCTCTTTAAAAAAAAAAAAACAACTCGCATGACAAGAATCGAGAAAGAAAATGAAAAAAGTTGTTATCATTTAAAAAACAGATCTATAAATATAGAGTTTATTAGGAATATTAACAAGAGGTAGGTATTCATTTAAATAAGTGATAAATCGAAGAAGTAGAAAATCATTATTCTTACCCCTAACTATTATGTTTATATTTTGGATTTGCTATTGAGGTGTTTTTTTTTTTTTAAAAAAAAGTTTTGTAAGTGTTTCTTGTATATATGATAACATATACGTGGATTTAAGAGGAAACACTAGAGAAAACTAAAATAAAAATATGAAAAAGGCAAGTATATGTTAGTTATTATTTAGTAGTAAAAGACGAAATGGAAACTTGTAAGATCTATTAGGATTATATTGGAAATTCTCAAACCATATATGGGTTAGACGTGTAACATTGATCAATCCTAAGGGCAAAATTATAGTTTATCCTATTTTATTTTGTTGCAATATGCGGCGCAATAAAAATCAACCAGGTGTCACGGTTGACCATTGCTAAGGTTTTGACTTGTAGTACATCTTCAAATTCCGCCAGTTCTTCTACGTGTCCTCCGTTTTCCCTCTTTCAAAACCCAAGCCGCTGCCGCCACCGCTATTACTGGAGCAGGACAAAGACAGAAATATAACGGTTAGGGTTTCATGGCCGGTGGCTCTGATGAGACGGATACTACAGCTACTGTTACCTTATCATGCGCTCGATGCGGCAAACCTGCTCACCTTCAGTATGTAATTCTTCCAAAATCTCTCTATTTAGCTTAATTTTATTTATTTATTATTATTATATAATTGTTTATTTATTTATTAGGTGTCCAAAATGCATGGAATTAAAGCTTCCTCGTGAACCTGCCGCTTTCTGGTAATCAATTATTCTATTAAATTGATCTTTTTTTAATTCGATAAATTAAGTTATTTATTTATTTTGTTTATTAATTAGTTCGCAGGATTGTTTTAAGACATCGTGGAGCTCTCATAAATCAGTTCATACGAAGGCAAAGCCGGAAGAAAATTCGGATGGAAATAGTGAAGGTTGGTTATACTGTGTGAGGAGAGGACAGAGTCGAACTCCGAAACTTCCACATTTTGATTGGACTGGGTATTTATCGGTGATTTTGTTGTTTCAATTGTATTGCATTTACCTAACCCTTTAAGTTGCGGAATTTTAGTTTTATTTGTTGTGAAATAAGAATGAGTTCTGTTTTTTGTGCAGGGGGTTAAGACCGTATCCTATATCTCCTTATCGTGTGGTTCCTGCTCACATTGATCGACCTGATTGGGCAATTGATGTGAGTTTTTTTTTTTTTTTAAATTCCTGTTTGAATGTTCAGTAGTGGCTATTACTTAATCTTTTACTTTGTTGAAATTTGACCAAAAAATATGCAGAGTATTGACCACATTGATGTGTGTATTATGCATTGACTCTTCATTTCTTATTTGTGGTCATCATGTCACATGATTGCCAATGAATGCTCCATGTTTCCATCGGACCTCTCTTTATTTTTGTTTCAGGGGTATAATGTAGTACTGATGTGCCTTTCTACTTTGACAATAATTTTCAGGGAATCCCTAAGATTGAACCCAGCAGTGATTTGCAGCATGTTGTGGAGGTAAACCATATTCTTAACGTTCTACGTGATAATTACTTCATTGTTTGATGGGTATTTGTGTTGGACTTATTTCTTTGTTCTAGATTCCTCTTCCTAAATCTATATATCTATGATGTAGATCAAAACTCCCGAGCAAATTGAGAGAATGCGAGAAACTTGTCGAGTAAGTTGTTGCCCTGCCTCCCAACTCTTGAAAGTATACTCAAAAGTGAACCTGTCTTGCTCCATTCTTGTCTTTTAACCTTCATGCCAAGTTTGCTTCATTGTTTTCTTAAACTATGATTGCATTTGTGTGTAATGGTCATGCCAAAATTCTCCATGATGGGAATTAAGATCTGATGAATCATCAGTGTAAGAAATTACCCTTAAGATCTTCTGTGCAGCTATCATTTCTGTAAAGATAACTAAGTACGATCTGTGCTCTATTTTTCACTTCATTAATTAGGTGAAAAACTAGAATACAGAAAAATGTATGCTATGAATGAGGAAATCCAACTCACAGATTAAAAAAAATAATGAACCTTCTGGGATGTTAGACCAGCTCCTGCTATGTGAAGAATGATGGATGATATTTTTTGCATGGACACTAATGCAGGAACAATTTTGTTGAAACTTTGAAACTCTGTAGCTTTCCACTGTAGTTCACAATTCTTGTTTCGTGTTTTTTTTTTTTTTTTGGAGGATTTTCATTTGAGGGAAGGGGCCAGGGTTTGGATGGTGTATTTTCCCTTAGGTCAGGTGTGAAGGTTATTTTCATATTTAACGATAATCAATGTAGGATGTGATAGTCTCATCTTGATTTAGCATCACAACGGTTTATAATGTGTTAAGGCCATAAAGAATTGAATGAAGAAAGCAGATCCACGGAACCAACTCCAACTAGGTAGAACTGAGACTTCGTTGATGGTTTCATAGAAAAGCTTAAGAATGGACTGCAATAGAATAGAGTATGGGATATTTGTTCTTGAGAAATTGTAATTGAAGACAGCTTCCACTTAGTAATGATTTGAAATGTTTTCTGAATAAAATCTGCTTTTTTGCATGTTCCTAGTTTTTATTTGGTTGTGATGAACGGTAATATGTAACCATAATTGGAATTGTAATGACATGAGTTCACCTTGTTCTCTTGTTTGTATATGAATCTTTAAAACATTTGTTATTATCAGATAGCAAGAGAGGTTTTGGATGCTGCTGCACGGATCATTCGCCCTGGTGTGACAACAGATGAAATTGATAGAGTTGTACACGAGGCAACTATTGCAGCTGGTATTTTGATGTTAATTAGTTCCTTTTTCTTTTTCCTGATTATTTTATTCAGTGAGAGTTGTCACAATTCAATTAACTTCTAGTGCATATGTGTCATTATTCAGTCTAACTATGGTTTGCTAAACTTTTTTTTTCCTTGGACTTTGCTGTAGGCGGATATCCATCTCCTTTGAATTATCGCTTCTTCCCAAAGTCATGCTGCACGTAGGTAGTCCTGTTGTGTACCTTTTCCATATGTTTCCTTCAGCTGTGATCCATAAATTAAAAGGGTGTAACTTTCTATTGCAGGTCAATTAATGAAGTAATCTGCCATGGAATTCCTGATGCCAGGTAGAGTCAAGTTCTCTCTTGTCAAACTTTGAAATTCTGCTTTCTTGTGCACTGAATTTGCACAAATACAATCGGAAACCATGATCTTATATGCTATTTTGTTTGTCAAAATAATATAAACCGTATAATTTTACCCAAGCATGCTATCCTGTATAGTCATAAATTTCATCAATATGAATGGACCTTACAGGCATCATGACTGCTTAAGTTCTTATAATTTCCTGATATTTATTCTAGTATCATGAAATTATTTTGTTTTTATTGCTTCAGGAAATTGGAGGATGGTGATATTGTAAATATTGATGTGACTGTGTATTACAAAGGTGTCCATGGTAAGAGATCCTTATGACTTGTTTGTGAATAAATCAAGTATGGCTCAAGATAGTCCTTGACCATTGGTTGATTCGTTATACAGGCGATCTTAATGAAACGTACTTTGTGGGAAACGTTGATGAAGCATCTCAACGGTTAGTCCAATGTACTTATGAGTGCTTGGAGAAAGCAATATCTATTGGTATGTGCTATTTTTAATCTGGCGAACATATGATAGAATTCTCCGTGTGTGATCATGCTTCTGGCTTATGCCATGCTTTGCTTGTATAAGAATAATAGAGGAAGAAAATATAGTGTTTCGGTTGGATTTTTCTGAATGCACTCAATGTTATACTTCTTTGAATTTTTTAATGTTCATATATAAAGGGGATTAGAAGAATTCTGTCATGTTCGTTTAAGTTGATCTATTGGCAAATTGCATATTTAATTTTATTATGTGTTGTTTGCCTTGCTTTGTTAATGAGTTTTATAGAAATACCTTGAATATTCTACTTTTCCAAAAGTTGCATTGGTAACTTTGTGAGTGGCTTGTAAGTTTGGTGTGCTACTTTGAAATGTAGTAACTGACAAATTCAGATGTTTCACCAAGCTCTAGCTGTTTGACTTTGATCTGGATTTGCAGAGTTTTTATTATCCTCCTGTTAGATCATCCCATCTATATTCTTAGTGCTTGGTTCTGATTTTTGCACTCTTTTACTTCTAGTGAAACCTGGGGTAAGATTTCGTGAAATTGGAGAAGTCATTGATCGTCATTCTACGATGTCGGGACTGTCTGTGGTAATTACTTAAGCCCTTTCATTGGATCACATCTTTATTGTTAGCTGGCTGGTTGTGATAATAATTTCCCATTCTTTTTCTCAAAACAGGTGAAATCATACTGTGGTCATGGTATTGGAGAGCTCTTCCATTGTGCTCCGGATATTCCACATTATGGAAGTATCCTCAGTAAATCAGGCTTTTTTTACTGTATTTTAAAAAGAAAGTAAACCGATGTTTGAGACTACATAACCTAATAGATTCAGCCAATCTGTTAGTTTGTTTGCATTGTTTGCCTTAACCAGAGCAGGAAATAAAGCAGTGGGCGTAGCGAAGGCTGGACAGACCTTTACTATCGAACCCATGATTAATGCAGGTAGCTTTACAAGGTTTTATAATTGATTGGTTTTCACTTGAAGCTTTCCTCACTTGCAGCTTTTAACTCAAATGATTTCCTTCCTTGATAGGGGTTTGGCGTGATCGGATGTGGCCTGATGGATGGACTGTTGTCACTGCAGATGGCAAGCGCAGTGCTCATTTTGAGCATACCCTTCTGGTAACTGACCTTTTGGTTTATCTTCATGACCCCCATTTACTTTGCCTTAATTTTTATCACTGTTGCTTTAGACAAATGGCCCTGCATCCTAATTGCATCAGGGTACCATATCTGGGACTCTTTTCACACAGCGGTGATATCTCATGCTTAAATTTCTCGTTACTTGACAATGACACCTTCTTGTATACTCGTCTCTGTAGCATCTCATATTTCTAATTTGCTGGATCTATTGTTATGCAGGTAACAGAAACTGGAGTAGAAGTTCTCACCGCAAGGTTGCCTTCATCGCCAAAGGTGTTCCCTTGGCTAAATGAATAATTATCCTTAACCTGTTTTAAGGGAAGGTGTATCATCAAAATCCATCCATACGCCGTGTCATTAATGACAGATCTTAAAGTATTATTTGAGGACTTCTGGAATTACTCCGTTTATTCAATGGAATTTGTGTTTGTAACAATCAGGATATTATAACATTCATTTTTGCATCAAGGCACCATGCCGTAAGAGATGTACAATAAGTTAATTTATATTTTTGGAATGAGTGTAACTTTTTTGTAATCAGCTAGCCCCTCTAAGGCTTCTGTTCGTAATGTTCTTCAGGTCAATTACAAGTTTGTTCTACTCGGTCGCTTTGACCGAGTACCTTTAAAGATTATTTCATGGATTCGGCCCCTTTACATTTGATTTTTATATTGTGGAACTTCCGTCAAATCTAGGAGGCCCTCGAATGGCAATGAAGGGCATATGATACGTAACACACGACAGGTCTCCGAGCATGTTTGACCTGAATTTAGGTCCATTTAAACAAGAATGAAAAAAAAAAAAAAGAAGCAAAGTTCGTTAGTAACATTTTAAATAAAAAAAATAAAAATTTCATTATATATATATATATATTGAGAATTAACGTTAATTTTGCCCAAAAAAAAAAGGCAAATAAACTTGTATTGACAAATTTTTGGAAGCCTTTATCAACAAAGCCCAGTCCAGTATCTTTTAAATTTTGTCCTTGAAGTGGCAAACAATAAATGGATTCAGGTCTGCCTCGGAACTAGATAAAGAAACACGTTCCAAACAGTTTCACTCGTTTACATTCTGGACCGGCCATGAGCTTCGAATGGGTCGGACATGTATAAAGATGGGTCAGACGGCCCAGACATATTTAATTGTTGCACAATTGACAAAATGATACATAGACTAATCTAATTGTACAGATTCAACAATTAAGTAAATTGGGCAATCCTCACTCCATGAAAAACCCACAGAAAAACCTTTCGAAATGTTACCTTAAAGCAAATTGGGAAGATGGGTGGCGGGGGTAATCAATCAAAACCCAGTTGACCCGACTAATGAGGAATATGATGCATTTTCATCATTTGCGACAGGCCGCTTCTCACTGTGCTTGTTTGATAGTTTATCTCTAGGCTTGACAAGTTGTCCCAATTCCACACCAGCCATCTCGAAAATTTCTAATCTTTGAAGCTTGGTTGCCTCAACGTCTCCATCCCAGCAGGTTTCAGAAATAATTTCCAGTGCTCTCTCTATCTTGTCCTCTGGTACAAGATTTCCATTTTGCAGTAGGACAAGGTAAACTTGTTCAGCAGAAGCTTTCCTGATCTGAGAAACAAAGAGAGTGTAGACTTCAGTTCCCTGAGTTGCTAATCAACCTGAGTGAGAATTACACCAAATGTCAAATATTTTTTCGGACCACAAACCTTGGGATATCGATGGCCTAGCAAAGTAAGAAGATGATTGAATGCCCGAGCATTGATGGTTTCCAAGAGCGAAGCGATATATCCAAGTATAGCAATACTAGAGTATAATTTTGCAAAGTCCCTAGATCCCTTCAATTCAACAGCGAGGGAATCCAAAACACTTGCACAAAAGACTGGAGTTCGGTCCTGGGAATTGAAATGGGAAGGTAATTCAGCATGTGGTCAAATCATTGAACAGAAATATAAAAAATCCATCGGGACATCTCATTCATGCTTTTCATAGCAGCAGTTTGCATTTGTCTGAAGAAATGGTGATATCCTCACTGTTAATAAAAGCAGATGTTTGCAACAGTGAAATCAGAATCTGAAAGCAATAGTCTGTGTCCTGACAGTGAGATCCACACATCAATTCAACAAAAAAAACAGAGAGATGCTAACAGCACAATGATGTGAGGAGATTATGAAGAATCAAGGGCAGTGATGGAACCACTTGGAGGGCAGGAAATAACGGGGAGCTTGGAAGGAACTGAGTATGAAGAATCAAGGGCAGTGATGGAACCACGTAGAGGGGAGGAAATGGGAAGCTTGGAAACAATCAATAAGCCAGTAAATGGATGCATGGAATCAGTTGAAAGGAAAGAGCACGTGAATGTTAGAGAGGGAGTGGAGTTAGTTAGCACACGTGGCAAGAGTTGGTTATAGCTGTTAGATTGAGAGGGAAAGTTAGTTAGAAACAAACACTGTATAAATCATGAATAATTCATTGTAAAAGAGCTATTCTGGATCAATATTGAATTTACTATTCTTCCTGATTTCTTCTTCTGATTTCTCTGTTTATTTTCTGTTCTTCTTGGTTCTTGATTTGCAAATCTAATTCTAAAATTGATTATTGTTAAAATCTTTAACTGTTGTTAATCTCCATTTAGTCTTGAAAGAATCATTAGAACCTTCTAGGATTGGAATTTGGTATCACACAAGTAAATTGGCCAAGCAACAGAAAAATAAGATAAGCCAACTAACCTCCATATCCAAGAATATCTTTTTGCTGAAAAGAATCTCTATTGTCTGAAATACACAAGAGTTGTGGTCAGGATTCTGAAGCTCCATAAAAAGCTTAAAATTCAGTAAAAAAAAAAACCTTGGAATGTCATTATCTCAAATCATCAAGTACAGGCATACTAATATTCGTTAGGCATTTGCTACAGAAAGAGGGAAAAAGAAAAGGGAAAAAAAAAACAGTTCATCAGCTTACGGAGGAAAAATATGAATTGCAACTACCTAAGCATCATAAGCAAAATTATCTACTTAAGCTTTGAAATAAAATTATTTTGCTATTTGCTCGTCGCTATTGGTTTACCTCAATAACTAAAGCAGAGAAAATGCATATTTGTTCAGGAAAACAAAAGTTCCATACCTTCAAAGTGGGTACAATAACTCTGTCACATTTCTTGTACTGTTGGAGAACCCAAAGCATGTCGGTAGATAGTTTTTGCTCTCTCGACCTTCTCTCATTCGACTCTTTAGTTTCAACCGGTTGAAGATATTCCAACAATGCCGAGATTGAAGCCTTTCGTAAAGAATCTTGCAACCCACCAATTGAAATAACTAAACCAGACAATACAGACCTGCTATAACAACTAAGCCTGAGTAATTGAACAAAGCGTGGATATGAAAAGGAGGGTACCTACAAGCAAGCCACAATCACCTAGTCAAAGAACCCAAATTACAGACCTGCTATAACAACTAAAATGGAGTAACGGTACAAAGTGTGAACTGTATACTTACACCCCACTTTAAATCTGTTTCATTAGGAACAATTTCTTCCAGATTTTCTCTGTACGGAATAAATGGAATAAATATTGCTTTGTTGTACAAAATCCTCTGCAGAACCTTTGCAGCAGCTTCTCTTATTTTGTCCATCTTTTCAACAGCTTGCTTAGCAATTCCACCAATCACATTGGTTGCAAGATTTGCATCAAAAAATGAGAGCACCTGGTTATTATCAGCCACATCGTTTTTAGGCCTCTCTGACACACACTCAACACCATGAGATATTGCAGTGGAATCCTTAATACAGAGGACGTATGTGCATGTTTCAAGGCCTTCCATAGCAGCCTCACGAACCCAAGAACCCACATCACCTCTGTTATCAACAGAATAGTCATCAAGAGCTTTAAATAAGCATGGCATCACTTCATTTTTTATCAGATGATACAGAGACATGTCATCCTCTCCAGAACAATTACTGGAACAGTCTTTTTCCTGAGTTAATGTTTTCAACACTAATATGAGTCCTTTGACAGCATTAACTCGTGCTTCAGCATCTCTGTCCTCAGGGTTATTCTATAGAGAAATTATCCACATACACAAGTCAGTAGTCCAGTAAGACCCAAAGCAAGAGTTTTTTATAAGAATCACAACTTTCATGACACACACCTCTATCATGCAAGAACTAGAAAGCTTCAGAAGCACATCTCTCCACCTGTTAGCCAAAAGTTCATACGGCAAGACACCAAGTGCCAATGCAGATCCTCTTCTTATGGCAACATTTTGATCAGTAAGCTGTTCCAGGTATTTTGACGTTATACCACCTGCACCTTCATTACTTGTGGAGACAAGGTATGCTTGAACGAAGTGTTCCAGAGCTTGAACAGCAACATTCTGTATATGTTATGGAACTATCGATTCATAAACTCAGAATTGCACTGAGGAAAGAGAAAAAAAAGGTAATAGCAAAGAAGTCTAAAATTACAACACAAACACCTGTATTTGAGAATTAGGATGCCGTAAATTTTCATTAAGTGTATCAAGCAGACTCCTTTTTATCTTTTCTGGTAATACCAAATGCGATGATGAGATACATTCAATGAACCGAGAAACAGCAGAACGCATTATTTCTCCACCCTTCCCACGATAAAGGCGTGCTTTCTCAATAGCAGGGACTACACCAGCAACTCGTTTCTGTTTGTCTACAAAATAGAATAGGAGATATAAAACATGGTTTATGCAATTCATAAGCTCAAACTTCTTCCTCGAACTGGGATTCCAGAACCAGCACAGAGAAGATAGCCCATAAACTTTGAGTAATAAAATTTTGCCAATGTAGCAATTCTTATCCATCAGATAGACAGTAAACCCATTTTTTCAAAACGAGAAAGTTAAGTGGAAACCCAAAAAACCTTGCTTTGCAGCCATCTCACAACAAAACACCTAAGTTATTGCAGTTTCACATCCAGCATGAAATTTAAACCATTGTCTAAGATTTCAAAAGGTTACTTCAGTTGAAATCTCAAGAACTATTCATAACAGAAAAGCATGTGGTCGACAAAGTAATTTTCCTATGTAATGTATAAGCAATATAAAGGATATAATCAAATCTGGTTGTCTACAATCTGAGATTCTTTCCCAATATTTTTTTTCCTCTCACATCGCTAGAAAAACGAACACTGAAATTATTCTAGTCTAGTATCAATCACATAAATAACCTTAAAGCTACAAGCTCTCAAGGAATAGGCATAATAATAGGAATACGTGAGAAAATCCTATGTAAAAGTAGGCATTTTTAGGAACAAATGAACCATGAACATTAAATCACAGAAACTTCCAATAACAAGTTCTCATTGCACTCTTGCTAAAAAGAAAAGCTGAAAGAAGAAAAAGAGTACGAGCCTGTGGCAAGTGCATGGTCACATTGATGCAAAGCCAGAACAATTTCTGCAGTTGCTAAGGTTGCACCATGGCGCATGCAAAGATCAGATGAGAGAGTAGAAGGAATTAATTTCTCCAGAACAAAGCTTGCAAAATACTCAGGATCATATTTAACAAGAGCAGAAAGGGCTTCTCCAGCAAGTTCTCTCAAGCCTTTATCCTACAGTAAGCAGCCACAACAGTCATACACTTAAAATTACAACAACAATAAGAACTATATGATATGCAAAACTTAAGCCAACGAACTCATTTTATGCCTAGTGCTATGAGCATTATATGTCTGATAACCCTGGGCAAACCAACTGATACCCAGCCCAAAAACCCAAAATGAAAATGGTCACTCAACTTAACTAAACTCGATGATGCAACTAAGGTAGCAATGACCAAGGTCATAGACCATCTCTAGTCTCAACAGATTGGTTTCAAAATAGAAGCAAAAAGATAGAGACAAAAGCAAAGAGAAATAGATATAGCCAGCATCACTTTAGAGATAAAAAATAAAAAAAATAAAAACACACAGAAAAAGCACAAAACAAGTGCTTCAGAGCATACCCAGTGACCAATCTTGTTATGCAGCAGTTCTTCTGCAAAAGGATATAGGTATCCTTCATTCTGAGCAATGCAGACAGCAACATGGAGATAAGAGTTTACTCGTGATGAAAGTGAAAAATAATCTGCAGTATTCACTATGTCAATGCCATGTGGGTAGTTCCCTTGTCTTCCGACATTCTCCTGAAAAGCAGCTGCAGCTGCTCTTCTGCAATTCACCTAAGAATCATGCATCATAAGCTATGGCATTGGCACGATAGATAATAATAATGAAACCATGGTCTGATGAAAGAATACAGGATAAGGCCAATATATCCTATCAGAGAGTAGTTGCACCTCACGGTCATAGCAGGCCACTGTTAAAAGGTGTGGAGCAAGCCGTTCCAATACATTTCTCATATCAGTGTGATAATATGCACGGCCAAACGCCCAACAAACATAGGCAGCAGCATCTCGAACATGAGACCCTACACTATGTGGACCTCTTCGAATGTCATAATGTAGTGCCTGTTGAGAAAAAAATAGTATTGTTCAATTCCGATACAATGCTTGAGTCTTAACACTAGTAAATTTCAAAAGAGAAACTTAAAGACAACCATTTTCTATTGCATATAGGCCAATAGACAGCATAGATGTTGAGAGAGGAGAAGCCAATAAAGAGCAGGAAATTAGTTCACAGCTACACCAATGCTCATCCTTCACGCACAGAATAGTTAATGCTCTTACTGGGTTTTTTTTTTTTTTTTGCATTTTGATGCAAAGAATAATTTACATTTCAACCTTTTCTTTTGTCCCCAAATGAAAGAGATCAAGACTATTAACTGGAAATAGTTAAAAAGGGAAAAAGAAAAAAGAAAGAACTGAAAAGGCAGAAATAAAGCGTCATAAATCTTTCAATAACAAATGATTTAGCACAAAAGATGAATCAATCACTATGCAATTATCCTACCTTCACAACAAAAGGAACAACTTTGGGAAGACTCATAGGCAACAACAATCCTCTGCGTGCTAGTTCAGCTAGTGCCAAGCAAGCTCCATGCCATGAACCATCACCCTGGAAAATTATGAAATTTAAGGATTGCCCTACACCTCAAACTTGGCAGACAAGGATCAAAATACAGAGAAAATATGAAAGAGAAATAACAGAACATAGCATAAGCATACCTCTCCAGGTGAAAACAGCTCCAGTACAGATGACAAGACCTCTTCTGACAAAGCAGATGTCAAACGTGAAGATATGCGGCCAATACCTTTGGCAGCAGACCAACGTACAACAGTGTCCTGCAATGTCAATGGTATCAACATAAAATTGACCATACAAATGGTAAGCTTAAAAACAAAGCATGTACAACACTGTTACATGGCTCTTTATGTGTTATGTTAATTGACAGACAAGAATAGCAAAGAAGCAAAATGCAAGCAAGGGCAATCCAGAAATCAAGTCAAACTTTTTATCTGAGACTCCGTGCTTTATAAAGTCATTGAAAATTCAGTCAAGGCTACAATGCTTGTTGCCCGGCATCATGTCTTCAGCCTAGGCTGCTATGCTTGTTGCCCGGCATCATGTCTAAAACATGGGACTCACTCCTTGAGAGAGAAACAAACATGTAAAGAATGCCTGCAGACCACCTGTCTTGACTGCAGCAAGCATCTCATGAAGAGGCCAATGGATTTCCCTAATTCTTATATAAATACACTTTATTTGTCAATCCGAAAGTGTGTGCAGTGCTCAGCACTCTTTCGAGGGGTGTAGAAATAATTCCTGAAAAGCCTGGAAAGAGTGAAGATTGTGTCTTATTCAACTTCATTATATTTTTTCACTTCATACACTTCCTGAACCCTAACTGGATTTTCATGGAATGTTCTTCAGTTATAATTTAAAGCTTTCAAAGATTTTTTCGTGTTTCACATAGTTTTCACTAGGTTCCTAAGGCTGTGATTATATGTAGATCAAGAGCTCAACAGAGTAGTTACATTGATAAGATGCCAGTATGTTTTTCCAATATAAAAGCTATTGATGAGATAACAAAGTACTATCCCATAAATGAGAACACTCCTCGGCTTTCAAGTCTAACTTTTTGGCAGAAGAAAAGGAATGGGCAACATTTATCCAAGTTTAACCTTTGAAGCTACTTAGTATTTAATAAGAGAAAGCAAAAAAGCTCATAATAGAGTCTCATCCTTCTGACATACCGTGTCTCTTAATCCAGCAAGTAACATCTCGATGATCTCTTCTACAATTTCTGGAACCTCCATGTCTTCATCTTCAAGGCAGTTTGCACTATTTTCTGGTTTGACAGAGTCAATATTCTCATCATGACTGCATTGATCAGCTCTTTTCAATGCATTTATGGAAACATTTTCCCCAAGAGAGCTGGTCCTGCCCTATGGATAAGGAAAAAGAATGTAATGAAAGTAGCATTTTTTGTTTCCAATTATTTAACTAATAAATACAACTTTTCCAAATCCTGTTAGATATAAGCAACAAGAAGATAAATAACCAGCACGCAAATGCAAGAACACACAAAAGACGACAAGGCAAATAATAAAGGAGCTTATACTGTAAGAGTTACACACACAGCCACACACTCAGGAAGTGATACATTTGAGTGTGTAAAAACTAGCAGGTTAAAAAACTATTAGATAACAATTAGAGATAATGGCCACTGCATCTTTCTAGGCAAAAACCCCTCAAATTTGTCCTTAGTCTATCATTAATTCCCACAATGGAGATGCAAAGCAGTATTGTCCACCTGACAAAACAAAAATGCATGACAAGAGACACACAGGACAGCTTGGCTCCCCAATTGCCTGCAAACTTAATTTTCCCCAAGATACATGAGTAGTGTTACAAGCTGAACAGCCAATTTACTGATATCATATGGAAGGCAGTGAGATAATCAATGGCCATGGAACACGTCAATATTGACGTTGAAAGAGTAGTTTATTACATTTATTGCACAGGAACCAGAAGGAAGATTCTAATTTATTATGTACATGTTAAACTGTACATTTATTCTAAACTTAGTGCTAAAATGCAAAGTCCTTTATATGAAAAAGATTCATAAAATAAACTTTCAAACTAGAACATGTTTTAAAAATTTTCCAAATGATGGTTACCAGCTCCCATGGCTATACATTTGTCAGAACCTTGAAGTTAAATCAGGATGTCCAAAATATTCCACAATACTAACCACATAACGCCAGGCTGGTGAACGAGGAGGGAGGAAGGTAAGCCCTATCCGTTGTGTTGACTTCACCAAATACTTGCGAAGCAAAGGACTACGAGCAGCAATACCAGACTTTGCCAACGTTGAGATATCAGTCCAGACAGTGGGAACCACATCCATTAACCCTTTGCGACCACCAGCCTGACCATAACAAATAGTATATGAGAAGCCTGTAAATTAAATAAGGCAAAGAGAAATGCACACAAGAAAGAATACAAAAGGGCAGCAGTGCAGCACTCATTTCCTATGCAACACTTATTTGCATCATAATAATATGAATTAAAATCAACAAAAGCAAACCTTGAAAATAGCAGCCAATGCCTCAACAGCACCCAGTAACTGAAAGTGAGACGTAAAATCATCTGTTCCAGAAGACAAAACTTCATGTGTCCATTCAATAAAGCTGAAAAATAAAAATAAATCGCAGTTATTTTGGGAATGCTTATCCAACAATCTTCAAAATAGACATCGATGCAAGCGATGTTAAAAACCTGGTAAAAGCCGTTGGCATATCAGGACGGGAAAGAAGCTTCGATAGCACTAATCCAGACATAGTCCGCATAGGACCGGCACTCGAAAGATAATCCTTAGAAAACTTCAAAATCCTCAAAACAAGAGGAGCTAACTCAAGTTCACCAAGCTCATTACTACTCGCAATACTAGTATCAACAGAAGAAATATCAAACGGAACCAAAACAAGAATAGAAAGCCACAAAAGCATCACACACTTCGCCTCCATCTCTCCCGTACTTTCCTGCCTCAAAGATGTAACAGATATCGCGCCATGGCATTTCTCTAACAGAGAAACGGCAAGCTCTAAATCCGAAACTTGATGCGGGAAAAACTTAATAACTGCCTTGTAACCACAAACTGTAACTAAAGTGTAAATAATAATACATACCGGCTTGATTATTTCCAGAATTTCATCCGATTTAAAGCCTAATTCTATTGTTCGAGTACGAATAATTTGCATTAATGGAGAAACTACACTCTCCAGGTACGGCTCCAATAGCTCACCCTGCTGCTGATACTTATCCATCTGCACGAATTTTAAAAAATTTAGGAAAATAATTCTTCTTATTTTCAACTAAAACTAAAATAAATACAAAATCAAAGAGTAGGAAGAGGAGTACAATGGAGCGGATCTTGTAGACGGAGGATAGATCGGAGACTTGTTGATTGGAAACGATGTCTTCGAGCAGAGATTTGACGAGTTTCCATTCTTGTAAGAAGTATTTTTGGAGAACTCTGTCTTTGGAACCGTGCTCATCGTCTTCTACTTCTTCTTCTGCTACTGACACTGGCATTTGTTTGGTTTTCTCTGGAGTCGGAACTTCTTCGGTTGCGGCAGCCATTGGAGAAATAGAAGAGAGGGAGAGAGAAAGGAATACTTGCTGCCGGGGTCGAATTCCCGCCTGGATTTATTTAACACTTCTGATCTAAAATCTGGAGAGTAGATTTTACAAATATACCTTTACGAAAAAAAACACAAGAAACTAGAGTTGATTAAAAAAAAAAAAAATGTGTGTTGTGACTTGTGAGTAGTTGTACGTTGTGCTAATATTTTCTGTACACTTATTAGGTTTTTCTTTTTTCTTTTCTTTTCTGAAGGAAAAAAAAAAGGATAAAATGCTTTATGGCTTCTAAGATTTGGATTTTCTAATGAAGGGAGTGAAAGATCCGGTGCAGTTATTTCAGCGCTCATTTCGTGCATCCGTGGCTTGTCTGTCAAGACCCAAGAGGGTTAAAATTGAAAATAAAAACTTCCGTTGCCGGGACTTGAACCCGGGTCTCTCGGGTGAGAGCCGAGTATCCTAACCAACTAGACTACAACGGATTTGCACAGCCTGTATTAGTAATTTAAATGATAATTTAATGTTGACAATTTTTTTCCTCCTGGTTAGTAAATTAAAATTTTCGGTAATTTGATTGATTTATGTGGAGAATAAATATTCTGGTTCGATTTTGAAAGCCTGTAAGGTACAAAACCAATCCTTTGTGTGAACTTTGTTTTATTTGCAAATGATCATAAGCTCTGTATGTTGTGTTAGTTATTGCCTTCAATTCCACAGGCATATAAAATCACTAGAAAAAAGAGTTGATATAAGAGACTATTCAGTTATTGCTGATTCTTAAATGGATTTTGTTTCCCTTTCACTTTGTACATAACTTGTACAGGAAATTAAAAGAACCTCATCCTCACACATGCCTCCTTTGAACGCTTTCATGAACATATCTATATAGATTACAATAAGAAATGTTGGCCTACCAGCTTTGATTCAGAAACATAAGCAAAGCTTACATCTAGCCTATGGCTTGTACTTTGCAGCGTACCGGTGAAACAAGGCTAATGCATTGCTAGCAGTCTGTGCCACATTCAAAACCCTGGTCTTAATTAAAGCCTTTAACTTGTTCGTATTCTTCCCTGGAAATTCATCCAAACAAGCGCTAGCATCAGTCATGGCAGAGCTTACCCAAGTCTCAACATTACTTATGTGCAAAAAGACGTCATCACCACCCGCAGCATCTGGGCGTTCCAAGTGATGGAGCTCTCTAACCGATTCACTAAATTGATCCACGCTATCACAAATTTGATCTAAGCAGTCTTTCACTGCTTGGTAATCCTTGGATTTCATTGCCTTGAGCTCCTTCACCACTTTCAACATGAATGTTCTTGTTTGGAGGGCCTTGTATAGACTCACGGATATGGCAGCTTGAGCCAGTTGTTGTGGGGTTTGTATTGTTGAGTTTGCAAAGACTGAGAGGTATTGGATGCACAGGGATGGGTAAAGGGTATTAGTGCATGCGGTTTCGATGTAGGTCCGTGCCCGGGATCGTTTTGCAGACCCAGCTGATTCCACATCGCCTGAAATGCAAAATATGGAGAGTAGCAGAAACAGTATGGAGAGAATGAGACGAGCCATTCTTGTCGAAGGTTGTAGAATTGAAGGAAAAGAAATATGTCAAACACAAAAATGAACAAAGATGAGAGCAATGGGATGATGCAAGGTGCATATATAAAGAGGCTGTCACATGATAAAACTTCATTTACTTGATCTAGCGCGCATTTTACTTGTATTAAACACAAATTATACTCAATTTGTCCTTGAAGAAAGCCTGAATAAAAAATAGGATTATGCTTATCGGGTCGGTCAACCTTTTAACACTAAACCTGCATTATCATTAGTATCTTAGACAGGCATTAATGAAAAACAACCCTTTAATACGAAGATAACGGTTATCTGAACCTTAATTAGTTTAACCATAAAACACTGGCAGGGTTTCTTGGGAAGGAGCACGTGCATTTTGTTGGTCAATGTTTCAGGTTCTTCTAGTTTCTTATTGATTCAGAAAGTTGGATCAATTTGACAGTAGCTGCCATCTGTTGATTCCTTTCACGTAACGCCATTGATAAATCACGTAAACTTTTTACCGCGAATGACCAGAATTCGTAGGATCAACTGATTGTTTGTTCCCTGTTGTTGGATCATTTGTACTACAGAGGGTTCAGCGATACCTGCCGCAACCTGTCTATAAAGATGGCTATAGCCATTAATTATAGCCAACAAGAATCATAAACCAAGGTAAAGAGCTTCCAGACTTCAAATGCATTTTTAACAATGTATTCATTTAAGTCATATTCGTTGGTGATGACACCTAACAAATCATGTGCTACTGAACTGGAGTAATCTTTCGGCGAGAATCAACCACAATCTCAATCAAATCCACTTTTTTTATTATGCTCCGATGGATCCTCCAGCATGTCTTATGTTTGTTTCCCATTGATATGATTATCTTACATATTCTTGGATCTATATCCTCCCAGAGATCATACCACATTCCAAGCGACATGCAGCTGCACAGAAGTAAATAGCACTGAATTTCTCATTAACAATTTACTGATTTACTCAGTGGCACGTACAAATCCAAGCAAGATCATGAGACAGAGGCACAGAGTAAGAGGCAAAGAGGGTACGATACGCTTACATAGATTACAACATAATACAAGAAACAAATTGCATTGAAACACACCACATAAACAATACAATAAATATTTGTTCAGGCTTGATAATCATTCGGCAACCCTCACACCTGAGAGATAAACACGGCTCTGAATCACACTGCCTCCTATCCAAAAACCAGGCATAACCATTAGGCCAACCCTAGGCTTTAGATCATTTTCATCTAATACCAGATTTTTAACAACGCTTTCCATAAAAACCTCTGAGAACTCATTTCCCCTCTTAACTTGGAAAACCTTAACATTTGGATCAAAGGAATAAGCAAGCCTGTGCAAAAGCCAGATAGACTTGGCCAGTTTCAAGAATGCCTGGTAGAAGGGCGTTCTTGGATGCCCTCCCCCATTTATATAATTTCGCTGATCTAAATTTCCAAAGAATGAAGCCTCCATCTTTGGATGAACCACCACCAGGTACTTGCTCCTGCAAAATTTCCCAAAAACAGAATCTGGGTTCTGACCTAGCATGTCCAACGGATCCATTTCCCTCATAGCAAGAAATTGGTGAAAGAAACTCTCCTTTGAAACCGCCCCACTATCTGCTTTAATTGAGAAGTCCTCGTGCTGAAAACCGCTGAACATTCTTTGACATATATGAGACTCAAATGCATACTTTTTGTGAGCTCTCTTTGCATAAACAACATTGGATTCAATGGAGTTAGCTGCAGCATCAAGATCCCACCCAGCTGCTTTCATCATGTTGATCAATGGTTTAGAAAAATCATGGATGGCTTTGAAAGCAGTTTCTACAGCAGATGTGAAGAGCTCTGGGGTTAGATCCACAGAATAAAAGCCATTTTCATCTCCAGAACCTTCTGATTCTTTGGTTGACAAGCCCCTAAGTTTAAGATTCTTTTCCAGTTTTGCTCGTTTCTGGTTTGCCTCCTCAATCATCTGCTGCAACTGATGAATCTCAGAATCTTTATTCTGAATTTCAGATTGGAATTTCTTCACCATAACCTCATATGTTTTAAGCAGGCTCTGTTGTTCTTGGATCTCTGCAGCTAACCGAGAGTCCTGAGGAGAAACACATATTGGTTTGGGGTTGTTTTCCCTGTAGAAATGCTTGAGCTCAGATAGATTTTTCAGCTCAGAAATTACAACTTTGTCAGCAGCTTGTATTTTATCAGGATCGTAGGGAGTATGAGCGGCTTGGAGCTGGATGTAAGCAGATTTCAGAGAGGAGATGTTGGTAAATACTTTGGATATCAAGGCTTCCACAGCTTCAGGATTTTGATTTGCAGAATCTTCCATGGGTTGAGGGTGGACCTTTTGACTGTTGCTCTCGCGGGGTTGATTATCTTTCAACCCAGTGGGTAGCATATCTACTTTCAAAGGATGGGTAGTCTAGTACGATTCCTTCTGAAAATACACCAGTGTGGCACAACCTGCAAACTCCCACAAAAGTGTTGATGATATCCAAGACTATCAGCAAGGCAAGAAAGCAGAACTCAAGCAAATCCCAGTAATTTTAACACGTGTTAAATCCAAAATAAGCCTAAACTACGTTCACATTAACAAACCATTATTTTCAAATATTGGTCTCATTTCTGAATAGGGCTCAACTGTGGCTCATGCACCATTGAGCAACCTGAATGAAGAATGTTATGTTTGCACATAATGCAAGAGCAATCTTGTGAACAGTGATCCTTTTACCCCAAAGAGTTTATGCGATGTGACAAAAAATTTTAATGAATAGATTCCAAAAAACATTTGCTTACAACACTCCACTTTCACAAGATGATGCTACAAACATTGTTAATAAAAAATTATGGGGGGCAATCCATAGAAATATAAGCAACTAGTAGCGATGGATTAAAGAAACCAAAGATGTTAAGAGGTGTATATGAACATGACCCCAAAAAGGCAAAAGAGTCACAAATGCCAGTATACCAAACTTACATTTTCTTTTAATAAAAAATTGTATTGGCAGGAGTTGTACAAAAACTCATTCTGACCACAGCCCAGATAGATTGGAGGCAAATCCTCGCTTTTAACGCTTGGACAAAAGCCCGAATGGCCTCTCAATCACCAAACTGATTGGAGGGAAATCCTTCTATACTCAACAGTTGAGCCCATAAAATCAGGAGCCTAGACACAGTACTCCAGCTAAAACCTTAATATTGTTAGAGAATATTGAGAACTACATAAATCAGGGACGGACCTAGATCACAACAAGGCCTAATGATGTATGAAAGATCTGAAACCAGCTCAGTTCTTGAACACTCAATTTGATTGCAGGACCTTGCTTTAGCACAACCAACTGAAATGTAAGGATTTCTAGAGCTAGTTTGCAGAAAAAGAAATATTATCTCTGGAGTTTGGGAGGAAAAATAAGGCTGACGCAAAAGTAAAAGTGAGTGAATGAAAAAGAAAAGACTAACAAGCATCAATCCAAAAGGTCCCTTATCATCAAAAGATAATGCTCTTGAGTCATAGCTACCACATAATACCATCTGAAGAAGAATCCTCAAATCGAGTCCACCTGGAAAACAGACCAATTTCAATACTCACTCGAGCTTACTTCTTTTTCCGAACCCCAAATTTTGATCACTTTTATCATTAAAGCCTAAAATGAAATGACTCACTTGACTAAAGTTGATCTTCAGTATAAACTTACAGAGTGAAGTAAAGATTCAAACTTTACACACATTATGAGCTTGCAATAACTCACTTAACTAATGTGAATTTTCAGTAGAAACTTGCAGAGGAAAGAGAAGATTCAAACAATGTATATTATGTGCTTGCAATATATTGTTAAGCAAAGATTTGAGTCGAAAACTACAAATGTGACATATACTCCCAATTTCTACTCAGTGATACCACTTACCACCACTTCAAGCATGTACATATGCTATAAATTATAATAATAAACTTGATTCAGCAACAGGCAAGTCACAGCATGGAACACAATTGACTCATCAAAAGAACAAGCTTCGAGCACGAGTAGAAAAAGTCGCACACAAAAATACACAATAACCAGTCTTATAAGATTAAAATAGCTGTTTCACTCTTCCTCTGGCCAAAACCAAAACAACTAAAACTCTTCAAAAACAAGTTCAAATTTTGTGCCATAGAATTATATTTATTTTCACTTGATAGCTTAAATGGAAATCGAATAAGATCACTTGCTATCATTATAGCTTTTCTACTAAGGTAAAAACCCATCCGAATCATGAACAATTTAAGCTGCTTGCTTACCTATAAAGATCACAAAGCACCCTCAGAATGTACCCAGCAAACATAATACCCGTCAACCTAAAATCACAAACAAATACAACCAGTTCTTTATCATCAAATCTTGAAAAATGTTATATTAGCCTAACAGTATAGCACACAACAATGAAAGCCCAAAAAATCCAAGTTTGGTATCGGTACACTTTAATTGGATGCACAGCTAGTTAAATTAGGTCGAGAAAGAAAATAATTTACCTGATCGAGATGTTAACGGAAAGTTGCCGGAGATTTGAAGGACAAAAGAGTCAATGAATGTGATGTAAAGTTTGGTAAAGTTCAATGTTTCGACAAAAATAAACCCTAACTGAGGAACTTCTTTGTTGCTATTAGCTTTCTATTTCTGTTTGCGGGTTTCTAAGAATAAATGAATAAATAAATAAGAAAATCGTTGTCTTTATTTTGAAGAGAAGGGGAAAGCGTGGGTGACCTTGTCGAATCTATGATGAGTCATCAATGCATGCACTCTGTTTTGTTTCCATTTCCATTTACATAATAACAATAATAATTGAAGACTTAATTACTATTGCATCGTAATTCACCATAGTCAATTGTCCCCAATGTCTTGTAAATACTTGGATTAGTTTTTGATACTGAGATTAAAGTTACCTTGTAATTTAATTTTACAACGTTCTTTTTGGCTTTGGCATGTTAATTAGGAAGCCTACCGATCATGCCACGGTATGAAAAACAATATTTATAAATAAAAAAATAAACATGGCTTTATTTGTTACAATAAAATACCTACGTTATTGACATGCTTCGTTTTATCTTAGCTGTAGGCATTTAATAATTAGTTGGGCTTTACAATTACAATCTTCTTCCTTTTTATCATCTACATTTTTACTTTCTTGACCCCATTCTTAAATTTTTTTTTCATTTTTTTTATGTGTCAGCAACTTAAATCCAATACAGATCTAATTTGTTTCTTTAGTTGCCTCTTCAATGTGTGCAGCTATGCGTGCATAGACTTTGTCGGAATGACTATTCATTGAAAGAAATGTATCAACTGATTGGATTTTGAGTTATTGCTAATTCATTGTAGTTGTTTAGTTCTCTTTATGAGTTATGGATAATTAAAATATTTTATGGATTGAATCTGTTAATGCGGTCAATGCCTTCGTTGATCTATAAAGTTACTAACGACATAAACATAAAAAATCTCATTTTAAGTAGCAGTGTCTAAGAAATTCTTATGATCCTTTTTAAACATTCACGAAAATACTGATCGTTGTATAGAAGATATTACCACCATTATTGAGAGTTTTATCAGACTTTTTTCAGCATAATAAGTTTTTGTTTTTATCATAATATCTGGTATTTGCTTCTCATGAAAAAACATGTTTTATTTATATCAAAATCAAAAAATTCAGAGTATTCCCTGACTCAAGATTTAGATCTTGATGGCTAAAGAAGCAGTTTACTCCATTAGCCATCAATCTCAAAGTCTTGTATTTATTTTCATTTTCTTAAGTAATCGCAGTAATATTGCTCATCACAGAAAAAATAAAAAGAAAATAATATAAAAAAACAACAACAAAGAGAGGGAGAAAGCTTTTTTCTAAAGCTAGATGAGGGGACTTCAAAACTAGAGTACTTCCTCTTTTTTAAGTAAGGCCAGTGAGAACGTGAGACTAATATACTCACTCTTTCAGAGGGGTGGGACTTGAGATTGGAGTTAATCAAGTTTTTAGTTACCAACTTGTTAATTTTTTACAATCAAGCGTGTTTTCTAAAATTTTTATTATTTGAACAATTCAAGTTGTAATTTTTTTAATAAAGTATATCTGTTAAGTTTTGGTTAATTTTTTATGTTATTTGCAGACAAGTCCTGTTAATGAAATATGTTTTACATGTGTCACTGACATGGCAGCCATGTATGAGACATGTAGATGTCATGTGTAAATGTGAAAAAATTAAAAAAAAAGAAAAGAAAAGAAAGAAAAAAAGAAACTCGACCATCTCTCTCTCTCTCTTAAAAATCTTTCTCATTGCCACCGTTTGTTATGTCATAATCCATCATCATCCACCACTTTTCTCCATCGCATTGTGTCCTTATCCTTCCCAAAGAAAAGAATGAAAATCACGCACCCAGCTCTCTCTGTTGAAGCTTGATGATTATGGACTTATGGTAGTCTAGGAAAAAAAAATCTTAAAGAAAAAAAGAAGATGTTTTGGTTGGGTTGATTTTAAGAAATTTGTGGCGGCTATTTTGTGGGTTTTTGGTGGCTAAAGGCATTGAGGAGGGTTTAAGTGAGTGTGGCTAAGGACGGCATGGAGGCATTGGCGACGGTGGTTAGTGTTTTCAGCAAGTATTATTTTTTTAACAAAATTTAAAATTAAAAAAAAATGAAATTCCCTTGGTAATCTCATAGGTATTTAAAATAAAAATAAAACAAACTCCAAAACAAATCAAATTAAAAAAATATATATTTATTTTACAGTATTGCTATTGCTGAATCTATATTCCTTAAAATTAAATTAAATGCAAAAAATAAGAAAAATATTATCCAAACAAATTTATATTGTCAATAAAAAATTTTAAAAATTATATAGAAGATCATAAATCAACAAAAAATTGAAACAAATTCACAAACCCAACACTTTTTTATTATCATCAACCACACGATTAAACGTCATACATCATAACAATAACAAAATTTTGAGACTTAAAAAACTATGTCAACAAAATAATAACCCATAATGGCAACAGCTGATGTTAATGGCTGCTTGAGAGGATATAGCGCAGGTTAGGCTATGGCTGACAACTGTTGATGGAGGAGATCGGGTTTCAGAGGGTGTTTGGCTGGTTATTGATAGTAAAGGTGATCGGGGATGGCGTGGTTGTTGGGTTTGGAAGGAGGACGGTAGTGGGGCTTCTGGTAACGGCGGGGGCTTGGACGACAGTGGAGAACCGTGGTAGAGGCAAGTGCGTGGTCTGACAGATTTTTGAGAGAGAAGAATTTTTTCTCTCCAAGGTTTCTAGCCTCTTTTTTGGTTGAAAAATGCTTTGCTTTGTGGGAAAGACGATGGTTGTGGGAGTGTTTCTGGCTGTGGTTTGGTAGGAGAAAATGGTGGCAGTGGCATGA